CGTAGCAACATCTTCTAACCAAGCAACATCTTCCAGGATTCAACATCATCCAACGCACGTCACATGACGTTATTACACCCCCCCCCCACCCCCCTTCTGCAAACAACAACGAAACTTGCAACGTAGCAACATCTTCCAACCAAGCAACATCTTCCAGGATTCAACATCATCCAACGCACTTCACATGACGTTATTACACCCCCCCCACCCCCTTCTGTACACAACAACGGAACTTGCAACGTAGCAACATCTTCCAACCAAGCAACATCTTCCAGGATTCAACATCATCCAACGTACTTCACATGACGTTATTACACCCCCCCTTCTGTAAACAACAACGGAACTTGCAACGTAGCAACATCTTCCAACCAAGCAACATCTTCCATGATTCAACATCATCCAACGCACTTCACATGACGTTATTACAACCCCCCACCCCCCTCTGTAAACAACAACGAAACTTGAACGCGTAGCAAAATCTTCCCAAAACAAGCAACAATCCTCGGAATTCAACTTCATCCAACGCACTCACATGACGTTATTCCACCCCCCCACCCCCCAATCTGTAAACAACAACGGACTTGCCAAGTAGCAACATCTCCAACCAAGCAACATCTTCCAGGATTCAACATCACCCAACGCACTTCACATGACGTTATTACACCCCCCCCACCCCCCCCACCCCCCCTTCTGTAAACAACAACGAAACTTGCAACGTAGCAACATCTTCCAACCAAGCAACATCTTCCAGGATTCAACATCATCCAACGCACTTCACATGACGTTATTGCACCCCCCCACCCCCCATCTGTATACAAGAACGACCTTTCTGGTATAGCATCAAGACTGAGGGTTCCTCGAAGCTCCGGGGAACCCCCAGCCTTGAGCCTATATATATATATGTGTGTGTGTGTATCAATTGTGTCTCAATTGGATCAGACCTGCTGAATAATACATCTAAAGAACATGTTTCAATACTGAATATGTATACATATGTGTATATATATGTGTGTGTGTGTGCAACATGGTAGTGGCACTGCAGACAATCCAAACTGAAACAAACGTTGACCATCACCATGTTGCAAACTGTTTGGCAAAGTGATGTCGAGCAAACTCTCGTTGAAGTCATTTCCAATCGTCAAGTGTCGAAGATTCCTCGTCACATCCAGCAAGATATGTCTTGTCTTTGTCTCGAATAAATCAATACTGGGTAGGACCTGTAAGAGTGTTGTAGATAGCAAACTACAATAACACGTGAAGCTCGACATGACTTGGTCTTAGCGCTCATCATAATCTACCTTGAGCCAGACGTACACATGTCAATTGGCTGGATATTTTTTTTCTGAAAGGAAATGAGCACAGTACCCAAAAGAGGGCCCTAGTCTTTGAAGTCCCAAGAAATGACAAAAAGGGGAAGCGGTACTGAAATTGCAAGGACCAAAGATGCTTCAGGAAGGGGAAGTAGTGCCAGACATCAATAGCAGGACGCCAACCAATCAAATGGAGGTGTTGCACCTGCGGTGGCGATCGTCACAGTTTGGAAGGAATTCACAAGATAAAAATACAAGAATAATACTACCTAGTTGCCATCCCCAATTTCCATTCCTAAAAAAATGTGAAAACTGGAGCCGGAATCATCAAATTAATGTGGTTTACTTTGCTATCATTCTATCTTCTGGGCGATGACTATAATGATAATCATTGTTGTGATTACATCATCTGTGTGCGTCATTTTTCTTATGATCATGATGGTTTTTCAGAACAATTACCATGTGTATACACACAATGTTGGTTCATATCCCATGTTTGATCGCTTATACTGTACCCCATCTTCCGGTTGCCTCCTAATCTTTCCACAATTCAGTGTCAGCTGGGACACTTCGCGCAGCACGCGTAGATCTTCTTGGTCACCAGCTCCGTGATAAAGATGAAGGATTGCACCCCACCTCAGCTTGACTGGGGAAGCTAATGAAATTTAGCCATATGAAACCAAGAATTTTATGGGTATATAATGGGAGATGGTGGGATATACCGTAGTACCGCACAAGGCGGTGGCGGAAGCTTCAAAGATAGGACACTATAGGAGAGGTGAGCTGTTCTGATGCATGGATGGCAAGGCGAATCCATTGATGGACCGAGAGGTGGTTGGAGTGTGTTTTTTGGAATGGTTACAGCGGTCACCTCGACCACAACTGCTGGATGTAGTGTGGTTTAAAGCGTAGTGCAATGTATTATTTGCAGTTGCAATTGCAGTTGCATTTGTAGTTGTAGTTGTCTTGTAGTGTAGCTGTAGCTGTAGTTGATGTAATTGTAGTTGTAGCTGTAGCTGTAGTAGTCGTTGTAGTTGCAGTTGCGGTTGCAGTTGTAGTTGTAGTTGTAGCATGGTAGTGGTGAAGTGTGGTGAAGTGCGGTGAAGTGTGGTGAAGTGTGGTGAAGTGTGGTGAAGTGTGGTGAAGTGTGGTGAAGTGTGGTGAAGTGGAGTCTAGTGTAGTGTTGGGGAGTTGTAGTTGCAAGTGTAGTTGCACTGTATTGTAGTGTAGTTGAAGCTGCAGCTGTGGCTGGTCTTGTTGTAATTGCAATGTTGTAGCTGTAGGTGTAGCTGTAGCTGTAGCTCTAGTTGTAGTAGTAGTAGTAGTCGTCGTAGTAGTAGTAGTTGTAGTAGTAGTAGTAGCAGCAGTTGTAGGTGTAGGTGTAGGTGTAGATGTAGTTGTAGTTGTTGTAGTAGTAGTTGTTGTTGTAGTTGTAGTTGTAGTTGTTGTTGTTGTTGTTGTTGTTGTGGTCGTCGTCGTCGTCGTCGTCGCTGTTGTCGTTATTTTTGTTGTGTGGTGTGGCGCGGTTGAACGTCCAAAAGTGGTCCGAAGATGTGGTGCTTTTGACATTTTGACTTGGAAATGTGCTTCGCGTCACTACGGCGTGCACTTTTTCGACAAGTCCGGACATGTCAACTTCCAAGTGCTCCGGGCATGGTGTGCTTTGTACGTTTTGACTTGGAAATGTGCTTCGCACCACTATGGCGTGCACTTTTTCGACATCTCAATTTCCAAAATTGCTCCGAGCATGAGGTGTGTTGTACATTTTGAGTTGGAAATGTGCTTCGCACAACGGCGTGCAAGTTTTCATCTCTCATCTGGCCAGCTGGCTCCGCCTCCTTTTCGACCCTCCGGAGCCACAAATCATAGTGAATCGCGACGTTTCTACCTTTTCGCGCACCTGCATCTTCTTTCTTCTGACTCTTTTTCTTCTCTGATCTTCTCCCTTCTTCTTTTCTCTTCTCTGACTCTTCCCACCTCTGCTTTTCCATCTGTCCATATCGTCAGAAGTTTGACTTTTAAGATCATATCCTCAACAAATTGAGTTTCTGACAAATTCACACGGACATAGATGTAGGAGATCTGGGCAGTGGTGCCCCTCTTCAATCCTGACCAGCCAACTGAACAGCCCTCCAGGCCATCCCCCATCCAACAAGACTGGGAAAAAAAGAATCGCACGCCAAGGGGGCACAGCAAAGCAAGGCCGAGCATGGCCAATCAAAGCAAATAGTTGAGCTAGCCAACTAGGCAAAGCAGCAGGCCAACTAGATCAGTACTGTAACTGGCAAACTGGTCAACTGATTGGCTGCCTGACGAATCCAACGATGAATTCTATAAGTGGGTTGGTGCAACGAAGCAAACTTAAAGCGTGTATACAGCGGTATACGTGTGGTTGTGGTTGGTTCAGTGACTTTACGCTCAAAGGGGGGTTGCTTGCCGCAGCACCAACGAAGCGAAGTAATTGGCTAAATCCACCAATTATATACTTGTATATAATTATACTGTATAGAAGTTTCGACAGCTAATCAGGAAACCAGCTCGCAAATCAACAACTTGGCCGACAAACAACACAGCACCTGCACAAATCTATTCAACCGCCAAGGTTGAAGGAGATAAAGACAGGGAGACAAAGAAAACGGTCACTAGTGATGAAAACTCACCAAACAGGAGGCTTTTGAAATAGGAGAGTCCGCGTACTAGCACACCTCTCTACAGAAAATGCCACCCCTTGCCAAAGTGTTTCCTTGTTCTGAGAGGATTTGTTTCTCAACCAGCTCTTCATCCTTCCAGATCATCTTCAATGTGCATCCTGTCCAGTGGTCAGCAGCTGAATGGAGGACTGGATCAATCCAGAACAAAAGAAGGACTGTTGAGAACCTTTGTTTTTTTGACAACACCTTTTGGATCTCCGATTCTAGCCCCGATACTGTCCCGGTGCTCCTCTCCGTCGGGGCAGCCGTGCGGCAAGCAGGTCAAGGACTTCAGAGCCCAGCAAATCATCGCGGAGCGTCAGCTGAAACTGTTTCCCATCGAGGCCTGAAATATCCACGTCCAAGGTGCCAGGTGCTCCATCTGTGCCAGACGCTGACATAAACAGTTTGAGGATGTTGGAAGTCGGCTTTCTGCTGATGGTCTGAGTGGAAAATGTGCTCCTCCGGAAACTTGACTAAGTGGCCAATTCAGGTTTGGCTGATACGCAACTACTAGCCGTTGAGAGACAGCCCATGCCGCAGAAAAACGATGGCAGTTTCAATGGCTTGGAAAAACAGAACCTGGACATCCGCGGCTCTGCCTCCCGTGCAAAGTCCACAAAGTTGAGATCAGGGCGGTTAGGGTGTTGTTTCAGGAAAACAGACCACCGTTTCGTCATGGTTCAGCCCCAAATTGAACAAAACCCTCGACCCCTTGGCAGCCCGGCCCTGATCCAACAGGCCTTCCTCACAATTCGACAGACGTGATTGGGAACGAAGAACCCTTGAAAGGGTGCTACAGCAACTCCCAAAAGAGTAGTAAAGGTTTTAAGTTGCTATATACTGTTTAGTAAACTGTTTAGTCGGATTTTATCCAAATTCAATATGTTTGGACGTTGCTACAGCCTTTTGGCACTACGCGGCTGTAAAATTATCTGAGGACTTTGCATGGCGTCGCGTAAGAGCGAAGGCTTTGGTGCAGTCATGTCCTGCCAGGTCTGACCCCCTAGTTGTGGCCAATTCAGTAGGGAAAATATGGAGAAAATGATCATAAACCATCATCAACCATTGCATCTGGGGAGGGGTCCCATAATTTTCAAACGAACCTAGCTATAATGGTTCCAACCCGGTTCAAAAGTGCGGGTTAGCTAGGATGATCTACTTTAAGGTCGAAGAAAAACATTCTTGAAAGCTTTGGAAACCACCAACGTTGGGCTTGGTCTTTCACACAAGACGGGAAAAATTTGGCTTCTTCCCCCGGTCTTCAAATAGCAGGCGCAACGGGTTCGAATATGCACTTGCCAGAGGGCAAAGGACGAAACAATCACAACTCTGCCATACTCTGGCACTAAAGTTTCATGTGGACACTACCATCATTCAGACGTAGAGGTTGGTGATGTTTTGCAATGCTTCTCTTCCAAGCTCTTGTCCTGCAAAAAGCGCATAGCTTTGGCCTTTGCCATAGAACTCCTCAGCACTGGTCATTGGTCACAGGGGTATGGCTCTGAAGCCAGTGGTTGCAAAGTAATTAGTTATTAGTTGCTTTTTTATATACAGTAATATACAGTATATACAGAGAAATCATATCCAAATCATTCATTTTAATAGGAGTTTCCATTATAAACCATCCATTTTGGGGTACCCCCATGACTATGGACACCTCCGCATCCCAAAAGAGCACTTGGACCCAGTGTCACCATCTGCCCATCTGGTCTGTAGGCCGGCCTTGCCAGCAGAGACATCGAAGACGCGACCCCAGACAGCTAGCCTCAGGCAGTCCAAAACGTTTCGGCAAATGGGTAATCTGATGTAATCGTCTTTTTTTCGCGTACTGTACTAGGAATAGCCTATCAATCCCAGAAAATTGCTGGAATACAGAGCCGACGTCAGTTCTTGACTCGTCACAGCTGAGACTGAGATCTCGACAAGATGTGATCGTCCTAGTGAATCCAAGACGCTGAGTTAAATCGAAAAAGTCATGCTACACAGATCGTTCCCCTACGGAATGGTGGGGTTGTTTTGTTTGTCCACAAACCTTCTTTAACAGAAAGCGCCTCACTCTGCTGCTGCAAGTCTGTTAAAGTGTAGGTCGCCTGGGCCAAGATGTGGAAATCACAACCCGCTGAATTCACTGTACAAGTACTGCCACCCTAAGAACCCTGGATGTTGATTAGATTTGAAGCTGAGAGAGACATCGCATTGACCCGCCCAACTGCTATCTTTCTGTCAAATTGGGAAATCGCCTCGCATGTATCCGGAGTTTTCCTCCTAAAGTCCATGAGAACCAAACCCATTCATGATGTGGCACTTGCACAATCTCCATAAAATCCATAACAAGCACCCAAATACGCTGGCAAACGTGGCAGCACAGAACCAGCCACTGACTCAGCGACACCCAAAATTTGCGAATGTCTTTTCCTCCGGTGGCCCAGAATAGACTCATCGAACTACTGTCCTCAAAGTGCCGAACCGCAAATATCTACCTGAGGCTGTGAGTGGGCTCTTTGACATTTGCCAAGGGCAGAGCTCCCATGGCTAAACAAGAACCAGGCACTTGCGAAGACTTCAGAAGACCATCATCCATCCTGATCGACTTGGAATGTCAAAGTGATCTCCTGCGTAGCATTGCTGCTGTCAGAATGGTCGATGATGCATTTGTTGCGCCGCCTTTGAGCTAGACGCACCGGCACTTTCCAGTGAGACGAAGGGTTGAATTCGCGGCAATGATCACTGTAGATCACGAGGTGGGGACTCAGCAAAGACTATGACGTCTCGTTGTTGCCTTGGCTGCGCCATGCAATACCATGACACAATAAAGGTGGTCCACAAAAACGTGCAAATGAGTACATGAGGGATGTGCTGGAATATGTCCAACACTGGCAGATTGTGATTGGGATCATGCCAAATCATGCCCGCACCTTTGTAGCCAAAGTATGGATTCTGTTCAGTGAGCAGCGACCATGGTGCCTGCAACACGACCTTTTGGCCGCAGGTCCGCACCAATCCAAGTTGCTGAGCTTCTCAATGAGAGCTTGTTGCTCTCTTTCCACCTTCTCCAAAGAGTTCAATTGGAAGGTGAGCCTGCACCGAGGGGGGGCCAACAGACACAAAATCAACCATTCTAAACTGGCGCGTTGGAACATCTCAAGTTGCTGGAACATAAAGGTGGGGAGTTAAAACATGCAACACAAGGCAACGACCATGAACCGAACTCCTGCAAAGCGGCCCTCAACACATCCACAACAGATCAAAAAGGGGGAACGTGCAACACTCAACTAAAGTGAAAAGCTCTGCACCGCAAGCTTTTCACCTTTTCTTTTTGCTGATTTCACCCGGACTGATACAAGAGCAGATTTTGCATCTCCTGGCCTTTCAAGTTCTTGTGTCTTCTCCTTAATTGCTGCCTGGTGGGTGGGTCTCCATTGATACCGTCCCATGATGGTAAAGAAAGAACTTCGCCAACTACGAGCTTCCTCCATAGACAAGCTATATAGTTCAACACAATCAAAAAATGGATCATATCAACAATGATCTGCAGCATGGACAAAAACCACTGCACATCCATGTTTCTTCAAGCTGAAGATAGCACTGGAACTGGTGTCATGCTACCCAGCTGCTACCCCAAGCTATAGTAATGGTCAGGTCTCTCCCGCCTCCATGCTGAGTTGCTTGCGTCTCCTGGCCTCGGCCTCCATCTCAGCACCTTGGATGAGATTCACAGGATGGCCAGCTTGGACTCAGACCTTTCCAGCACGTTTGCAGCGTGTTCAGTATGTTGTTCTCAAATCTGTTTCATGTTCGAACAAGACCAGAGCCTGGGAGTATGCCTTTGCGAAAGGTGCAATTGGCACATCTGGATCTAGAATGCCCCGTATAGCCCGCATAGCATGCTTAGGCCCGGTGGCCAATACACTGCTTCACTTTTTCCGCCTCATGAGCGAGTCTCGCCATGCCCCCACTTCCCATGGGGATCAGGTGCTTCTCTGGGGCGAAAGAAGCTGGTCATGGGCTCCACTAAAAATTCAACATAAAGTCCAGCCAATAACCATAGAATCAACAGAAAAGTCATGAACGTCTCATTGGATGGCCATCTTTGGCACTGTCGAAAAATGGCTTGCAAAGGCCACTGAAACAAGTAGACTTCGAAACTATACTTCCCAAGTGCCACCAAGGCTGGGTGACTTAGGAGTCTGGCGAAAAGTCCTCCGGGAGCGCACATGAAAATAGCACTGATCAAAGCACCACCATGATTCAGTAGCACATTGGCATCGGTCTGACATTCCGCCCGCGACTTGGGAGATGGCAACATCACTACTGCCGCCCCAAAGGACACCAGGGCCACGTCTCCCAGGATGGCTGTCAGGTACTTTGAAGGACGGCCCCAGTCACTCCGACAGGCGGCTTGGTGGACTTGGGATGCCACCACACCCAACACGAAATCCGCCAGCTGAGCAGGTGGCCACATGAAACTGGTGGCGAACTGACCCCAGTTGAGGTGACCTCCTTGCCTGCGAAAGGAAAGTGCAACCCTCAAAGTCGACACCGGTCTCTGATCTTTCTATCTGGGTAGAGGTTGTGTTGCAAGGAGCAAGAGCAACCGTGGAAACGGTGAATGTGTTGCTTTCTGAGACCATATGGTTCACAAGAGTGTGAAGAGCAGTATTCAACACACATCAAAAGAAAACTACTCACATCTTGAAAGTATTCCAACCAAGTCACCAGAAGTACAGAATCAGCAAAGGTCCAAAGGACACAGCATATAGCAATAGCATGAAACAGGTCAGCCCCATTAGTCCTCCATCTCGGTCCACATCCTCCACAACACGCCGCAGGAAGGGATACATCAACCAGCCAGGGATCAATGCTTCGATGGTCCAAGAGGGTGGAGCCGGACACCACGTCGCCGGTCGAATCCAATGCATCACAAATCCGAAGCAGCCCAGAATCGTCCACATACCAGGCATAAAGCTGCTGCGATATGAAGGTATCACCAGCACCACCAAAATACTCACCAGCATGGCGATGTAGGTGGTGATCACAATCTGCGCCATGCGACGGACATAGAAACTTCTCAAGGTCATGCCGCTGGCTAAACGACGACCATAAGCCAAGTGAGTCACGAAACCACTCATCACCACAAAAAAGTTCACTGCCACGAAGGAGCGACACGTGATGCCAAAGCCCATGTCATCTGGTGAGCTGGGCATATAGTGACCACAAACGATCCACAACGCCAGGAAAAACCTCACACCAGTCAGGTGCTCCAAAACAGATCCATCAGTTGGCTTCGCCATCGAAACTCAAATGGCAAAATGGGCCCGCGGATGTGCACGGTGTGAGATCTTTGGGCGATGTGCATGGGTATCAGCTTGGGCATGTCTTGAAGAGTCGTGAAACTTGACAATGACCTATCATGAACTGTGACGGGCCTTTTTATTCTCCACTTCAATTATCGAAGGAAGTTTAGAAGTCAAACTTCCGACAATATGGACAGATGAAAAGCAGAGATGGGAAGAGGCAGAGAGAAGAGAAGAGTAGAATAGAGCAGATCAGAGAAGAGAAAGAGTGAGAAGAAAGAAGATGCAGGTGCGCGAAAAGGTAGGAAAGTCGCGAAACACTCTGTTTTTCCAATGATTTGTGGCTCCGGAGGGTCGAAAAGTAGGCTCGCTAAAGGGGCGGGTGCGGCACCAGCTGGCCAGATGAGAAATGAAAAATTGCACGCCGTTGTGGCGCGAAGCACATTTCGAAGTCAAAATGTACAAAACACACCAGGGTCGGACCACTTTTGGAAGTTGCGATGTCGAAAAAGTGCACGCTGTTGTGGCGCGAAGCACATTTCGAAGTCAAAATGTACAAAACACACCATTCTCGGACCACTTTTGGAAGTTGAGATGTCGAAAAAGTGCGCGCCGTTGTGGCGCGAAGCACATTTCCAAGTCAAAAGTGCAAAAAACTGACGGGTACGGAGCACTTTTGGAAGTTCAGATGTGCTTTCGCGTGGCAGGCGCAAGGGATTGTGCACCTTGTCAAAAGTCTGCAAAACGTGAGGGTTTTGTAGCATTTCCAAAAGTGATGGCAGGCGTGGGATTTGAAGAGGATCTTCAAAGATGCATTTCGCGTGGCAGGCGCAGTACAAAGGACATGTTCATCAGAGATGTCAGGAGGTCAGGGCGCTGATTTCCTGAGAGGGGTTGCATTTTGGAGCATCAGATCTTCAGGTTTGCTGAGATGATTTTGCGTGACAGGTGCAGCACTTTGTATGACTTGGCATCACTTTTTCGTGGTAGGCGCAGTACTTTCGACAGGTGGACTGGAAAAATCGCAAAACGCATTGGCACGAAGCTGTTAGCTGTGCACTCAACTTTCCATTTTTGAAGGAAGCCTCGCAGAATCGCTTTGTTTTTGATGTTGTCACGTTCAAAAATTGAAGAAGTCTCGCAGAATTGTTTCGTTTTGGATGTTGTCCAGTTCAAATAATGAAGAAGTCTCGCAGAATTGCTTCGTTTTTGATGTTGTCAACTTTGACAAATGAGGAAGTCATGCAGAATTGCTGCGTTTTTGACGTTGTCAACTTTGAAAAATGAAGAAGTCTCGCAGAATAGCTAGGTTTTGAAGCTTGCAGATAGACAGGTAGATAGATAGATAGATCGATCGATAGATCGATCGATCGATAGATCGATAGATAGATCGATAGATCGATCGACAGATAGATCGATAGATAGATAGATAGATAGCTAGATAGATAGATAGATAGACAGATATTAGATAGATAGACATCTAGATAGATAGCTAGACAGATAGATAGATAGGTAGGTAGATAGATAGCTTGATAGCTTGATAGCTAGATAGCTAGATAGCTAGATAGCTAGATAGCTAGATAGCTAGATAGCTAGATAGCTAGATAGCTAGATAGCTAGATAGCTAGATAGCTAGATAGCTAGATAGATAGATAGATAGATAGATAGATAGATAGATAATCAGAGCAAGAGAGAGAAAGAGAGAGAGAGAGAGAAAGAGAGAGAAAGAGAGAGAAAGAGAGAGAAAGAGAGAGAAAGAGAGGAGACCTCAACCACCTTTTGATCCATCAGTGGCTTCGCTCTGCCATCCGCGATTTACAACAACCAGCTTCTCCTATAATAGGTTTCCTATTTTTGAAACTTCCGCCACCGCCTTGTGCGGTATTACTGGTACATCAAACATATTGTAAGGTAGATCATGCTGGTTGCAGTATACTGTGTCAGACATCATTCAATGCAGATTCGGAAAAGGATTGAACAGCCTCCTGATATTGCTAAATGCAATGGTGCCATTGCAGATTCAGTATATCCAGAGCTTGAGGGCAAAAGTGGCGAGCGACGCAGTATGGGATTGCATTGGTCAAAACCTAGTCATCCTATATCTTTCAACGCCAGTTTGTTGCTCCATAGATATACAGGTATATCATATGTATGTATCGTGTATGTGTACACTGTATACGTATGTACCAGTATATGATATATATATATATCATATGTCTATTTTATTCGCACATAACCGTTTATTGTGTATGTATATATATATATATACATACACATGTATCATATGCATGTTATAATATGTGTATAGAAATCTATGTATCATATACATGTACACATATGTTTGTCTACAGATCTGGCACCTTTCAGCTGGCACTGCACCGTTCGGAAAGTTCGGGAAAGTTCATGTGAACTCGGTGGAGTTGCGATACAGATGGCTTCCGCAACATCTCTGTTTGGTGCCATGACCTGCTAGACACTTGAAATGAACAAATCCAAGAAGTCCAAATCCGAAAGTCATCCACTGCTTTTAAGAAGGCTTGCCCTGGACTGGTCTCTCCGAGTCCCTGTCACAATTGTCACAAGGCAGGACATCCCTTCAGTTCTCCATCATGCCACAATCATCTCAAGATGCTGCGATTTAGGAAGCGATGTTTCTGGTACCTTTCCAGTTGATTTTGGGGGAGGCAACTCCAGAGACTATGATAGACTAGACGCCAGTGACGCCAAAAGGCATTCTCTGATTCGTGGTATTCATGTTTGCTGCAAAACATGGCGAGTTGGCATTATCTTAGCAGTGGCAGGGGTGGAAAACACAGATCTTTGCATAACTATCTCCCTTCCTTGCAGATGACTTTGCCAAGTAACGGTTCCGTTGACCAATGGCCCTCAGTTTCTCTTCTTCGATCTTCAGGGCTTCTCCATCTAAGACCTTCGGTGTCAAAACAACAACGAGAACAAACCAAATCACACCAACTCTAGTCTCAGATACCGTGCAAGTTGCCTCAGGATGGGTATGGCATGTTATGCTTGAAACTAAAACAATGTCCAAATAGCCGTCCAATGACCTCCTGTGGGACACTTATCGCAAAACGGAACCATTGTGGGCCTTTCTGGCTTTCCAAAGTATCATCTAGCAAAAAACACTTTCAAACAACACAAGAGAAATACATATACTAAAACATAGATCGGCCTGTTGACGCTGCCTGGACACAGTAAATTAAAGCTTTCAACATATATAGATAGATTTCACGGGGTCAACCCAGCAACAATTCTGCCCGAGAGTAGGATCTACCGTTGATCAAAAATCATGGGTTATCCCCAGCGAAAATGTGCGACCAAAGTGGTACTCCTCCAACCAAAATGAGCGGGGTTTACTCATCTGGGTTGACATTGACTATATAGTGACTATATCCAATGAATCCAATCATCATCTTCTGACTTTCGATATTTCTCCAGCACAGTCGGCCTCAACGAGCATATCCACGGTGCCACTAAAAGCCTGGATTTTCTCAGCGAAGCCATTGCACTCGGCTTCCAGATCCCTCAGATCCGTTTTGATGCCGGATTGATCCAAAAATTGTGTTCCTAAAATGTGACCATGTTGTGATGGAACAAAATATGACAATCTCTTGGAAATTCCTATTTTCAAACAAACCTGGATGCGGATGGGATGGGGACGAGAACTGTCTGGTCAGCTGACCACCTGGCAATTCGACATAATCAGTTTTTCTCAAAGGAAAATATCGGAAAATTAGGTACAATTTGCTGGATTGCCCGTTGCCAGGTCAGATGACCAGGGGTACTTCGTAAACAGTGTAGACTTCAAAAGCAGTATGAGCTCAGCTTTATCTCTGAGTTGAGTCAACCTTCTGGAGTTGACACCTTTATGAAGAGTGCGTCCAGTTGCACAACTGCCTCCCGCAGATGTCATACTTCTCCCCTCACGTGTTTCTGATGCCGCTATGTTGGGTGAATAGCAACCCAAGAGGTTTTTAGTGGCCATATGGAAACGCAACAAGCAGTACTACACCCTCAAGCTGCTCAGTCTGCTTGAACTTCTCTTTCGGCATCACACGGATCCGATTGTCCTGTGGCCATCGCTTAACAAGTCGGCTATTGCCGAGTCGGAAAGGGTGGAGACTTCATTGGTCCTGCTCTAGGGCACTGGGGATAACAAACTTTTGACTACTGGAGAAAAAAAAACAAGGTTCACCCCTAAGAATCTGTACTTTGGCAATACTTGCAGCATCTGAAATACCTTCTTTGCGCGGTATTTGCAGCATTTTGGAGCTTGAATATGAAATGTGCATGTTTTTTACTGCATTTTGACCTTGAACTTCATTTTTGCCGTGCACTCGCAGCAGCATAAAGCCAGCATCTGTACTTCGCACAGAGTTATTTGCAGCATTTGTGCACTGAAATCTTTTTTTTGCTGGATTAGCGATATATTGTCTAGGGTTAGTTTTAAGATCTGTTTAGGGTTGGTTAGGGTCTACTTTGGGTTATGTTAGCGTTTATGTTTGGCTGTTTCAGAATTTCTGTAGGATTAGTTTTGGTACTTATTTAAGCTTGATTTTTCTAGGGGGTCTTTAGGATTAGTTCTAGGGTTTATTTAGGCTTGTGTCATACACTAGCAGTATTTCGGGTTGGTTTGGTGTTTGTTCGGTGTTGATTTAAGGTTGCTTTGTGGGTGTTGTTTTATCGCTAATTTAGTGTTCGTTTAGGATTTGTTCAGGTACTTAGATTTTTCCAGTATCGTCCCGATTCCTATCCCCTTCGGCACCATGACAAATCCTGGAGCAAGGTACACAACACTTCTCTTGGTAAAAATATCAAGCTCAAGATCGATGCGAACTTCGGATCAAGCCACTGTTAATTCCATCCAAAAATTGCTGCTTAGTGGAATCTCATGCGAAGTCAATTTAAAGTCGAGCATCCTCTGCTACAAAATCTACAAATTATCCCCAAAAGGTGTTAAGTAACTCTCAAAGGGCCACCCAGTGCTGTCCACGCCTCATCAAAGGTAATCTCCAGCCCCTCCATGGCTGGGCAGCGCCAACGGCCAAGGGCCTTCGGAGTGTTTTCTGGGGCCGCTTTGTCGGAACCTTTTTCGGAGGGTCTGAGCCATCAGCCAGCACAGCGGAACCATGGTGGCTTGAAACATACGTCAATGTCGAGAAATGGTTTTTTGATAATATAACTAACCAATGTAATTACTGTGGATGTGGGTTTCATACAACTATAAAAAATGCAAATATAACAACAAACCCAACAGCGCAAAGAGTAAATAATGATTACACTCATACACTGGATAATATAATACCATATTGTAAGAGATGTAATAGTAGTTGTGGAAAATATTAAGTATAAGAATATACATATATACATTAATATTTATATAAAATAAAATCAGAGGCTTCAGACCATCACTCTGCTTGATGCGCTCCTTCTTCTGCTGACAGGGGGGTGCAATGGGGAGGTGGGTTAAAGGGGTTTATTAATAACATTTCTGTTAAAAAGTATTTAAAGAAATATTATGAATGATAATATATAATCATAATTTAATACATATGGTTTAAGACATTCTAATAAGAATATTTTTTCTATCAACCTAACCTTGCCCGACAAAATACCATATAAAATTATAACATATTTTTTTGGGATGATATATAGTGGGCAAGGTTATGCTGCTAGAATTTTTTGTGATGTTGTTTGTGGTGAGTTTTTGTTTTGGTTTATGGATTATTGTTTGATTATTATTGTTTATATAAATTTAGGCAGGCAATTTTTCAACAAGACTTGTCTTGTTGAAAAATTGGAGTTGTTTTTAGATTTGAGTTTATGGTTGATTGTTATGATTGGTTTTTGGTTGGGTGTATGTGGTTAGTTTTGATGATTTTTTTGTGAGATGTTGTGTATGTTGGGGGCTGTGAGGTTTGGGGTTCAGGGTTTGGAAGATCGGCAAGGCCTATCCTAACTATATCATATATGTATATATATATTATATATATATATATCATATATATATATATACATATGTATGTGTTTATTTGTTTATGTGTACGTCATATGTGGTCAAAAGATTGTGGTTCATGGTCATCCATCCCATTGTGGGAACTCTTTTGCTGGATACATAACTCATCATAAATCCCTATGACCTATTATTCCCAACCCCAAATAACTGGGTATACAATCCCTGCTCGACAGCACTGGGGTCTTTTTGCAACAAGTGACACGGAGGACGGCACGTCAATCTCACGTTGACCAAGCTAGTGAACTAAAGTGTCGCGTGTTAGTCCCTTCAGCTCCTGGCTGCTCTCACCTCTGGGTGCCTTTCCTTCCTCAAAAAAAAGGTCAAAAGGGCTATATCCCCTGGATCGTTTCAGTCCTCAAGCGGTTCTTTCTTATGCAATCAATTCGACCAGTTTGGATCATGTGCAGCATTTTGCGGGATATATGTTCAGGATTGTTCAAGGATCCACAAAAGTTGAAGATTCTGGCCCAATCACTCACAGCAAAATGTCCACCATGCATCGCAATGTTCGGCCTAACAGGCCAATCTCGGTTTCAGTGGCCCCCGAGATGTTTGCCGAGCACCGGAAACTGACCCCACAGGACCCTCGCATCGACACCGCGACAGCATTTCATTGCCCAATTGGCACTGTATTCTCAGTGCTCGAACTAGTTGGGGGTGCCTGCACAATCTCCCACTCAATTTTCCACCGGCACCCCTTTTCCTCTGAAAAAACTATCTTGCCTGTTTTGTTGAGAACACTTTGGGGTTGCTGGCTTACCTCCTTGCCCTGCATGTCGCCAGGGCACGCATTTTGGCCCAAAACTCCGGTCAACTGATTCGACAAAGTTTTGTGGTGCTTCGAAAGAAACTCATGGTCCATGGAAAAATAGGAATCCTCCATTCATTTTACTCATCAAAATAGTTATATAATGAGCCCTTTGAGATGTGTTGGGGACCCATTTTGTCCGAGCTGTTCTTTTTCAATTCGTGTCCAGCTTCATTAACAGTTGGATTTACCCCATGAACGTCACCAGAATCTTGTCCAAACACGCGTGCACACTGCTGAGCAAACGCAGATTGCCAATGCGCGAAAGCAATAGCCGTGTATGGCATGGAATGATCATCCCTCTGTGGTACTGTGCTCTATAGTCCCCTAGCGTGGCGTTCTCACAAGGCATCGGCCCTCAAGCGGATGCTCCAAATTAGCCGCAAGGCCTATCGCTTGTACAGGCACCAATCCCCCCTTGGATGTCCAGGATTTGTCGGATGCATCGGAAACAGCAACCTAACCCGGCCTGGTCTAGTCAGAGTTCCCACGCGTAGAATGGCAGCTCTACTTGAATGGTTCGAGGCATTCGTCTGTTCAAACATGTGAAACTACTTTGTGTAGCCAGCAGGTGGGCAGTTCTGACATCATAAGACCCCAGCACATGTAGCTCTCTCCGAGCTGTAATCCCCCCTTTAGTGAGAAGGAACGTGTCGTCCGTCAAAGCGGGATCGAACTGCGCCGAGCAAACATTCTGCATCAAATTCCAGCATTGGCAGACAAACAACGGAATTCACCAAAGGACAGCAGTGTAAATGGAATCACAACATGGTATTGGAATGTATTTGGCCTCATTCATTCTGGTTCGCAAAAAACAAATCAAAAAACGAAGCAAAAAACAGGTCCAATGCAAAAAAAAACAGGACGCAGGACAAGTTCAGGAGCCTGTGCCGAGTTGTGACCTTTCTTGGGGCAATGCCAGTCCTCAGCTCCCAAACTAGCCATGCATCTCACCAGCGGAGCAATCCTGGCAGATTCTTTGCGGCCATGGTTCATCCTTCGGTTGAACTCTGCAGCACTTCACTGTCTGTCGTTTCTTGATTGCAAAACATGAACTACTTGTGGTCTCTGACAAGAAAGCAAAAAGTACCGGGAAGAATCTTCTGAAAAGTTCAGTCACAATAGCAATTTGCTGTTGAATCTCGCATATCTCGGCATATCTCGGCCCATCTTTCATCAGCTTCCGTTTCATCCCCCGAATCCCCCCAGTTGTTGCCCACCTCGTGGATCAGATTCCAGGTGGAGGCGACACCTCCTGAACGGATTGTTGAGATTGGTCATGGATGGTCATGGTATATAAGTGTTGAGTTCTGTTTAGTGGGCGTAAACCTCTATGAGAGCATAGCCCAAATCTGGCAACTTCTGGACCAACTCTGACACTGCACCCGATGCATTCCTGGCATTCTTCCCAGCCAACTCCATGCCAACTCCAGGCTCCTCCTCTTCTTTGTTCTTGTTGTTCTTTGACTTGGAGTTTGATCCAGGTACCTGGCAGAACAAAGGGTGATGCACATATCTACTCTGCGTGGCCAAGAAGTGAGTCTATTTATTGAGTACCAAGATTTGGATGATTAAGATTGATTAAGACAAATGATTAAGACTGACAAGTTCCAACTGCCTTGACTTTGACGGGCCTTTGATGAAAGTTTAGCACATCCTCAACTCGTTCGCTTCCGGCGCACAAACTCTGAGGCCTCAGCACGAAGCTCCTGGCAGGCGCGCATGCGATTAGTTCGCTTATAACTCATAATCCCTTTAATAACCACTTGTATGTTGTTTATACAACTAACATCTAGTTGGCTTATAACCATTTATCACCAGCAACTGCCTAGTCATAACCCCTTCATTAGTGCTGTTCAAAAAGGATGGACCATGCTTACAACCCCTTTACTTCACCTTGCATCTGCAGATCTTGGGTTGTCAACCGACATTTCTTGGTATCTTTGGCACTGGAAAAGAGATGACTCTGACCATGGCTCTGAATCATGGAAAATCTGCCAAGGTGACAGAATTTGGGGGCAATGAAAATGTACACTTCCAATTGTGCTTCGACAAATCACATGGGTCTCAAAATAGGGCACCCCAAAATCCCATGACTGCTTACACCATCTTACACCTTTCCCCTTTAAAGTCACCATTTTGTTGTAACCCCCCAATTTTTGAACAACCCGAACTCTGCTCGCCATCGACCTGCGGTGGTGCTGGCAGCGGCACATTGCCACGAGCAATGGTCAACTTCAAAAGTTGCTTGTCCCTGCACTCCTCCGAAGATGGGCAACTGACACTTGAGGACCTCTCTTCATGCTCTTCTCTAGTGTGGTAGTCACGGTAGTCTTAAAAAACATCAAACCCATCAATCTGAACAGTCGACATTGGACAGCCTTTTCGAGCCAAAACTTTGGAGTTGGGGTCTGCCAGTGACCTGGCAGTGCCTCCAACACATGCCTTCCCCGCAGCCTGTAGCATCTTGCTTGGATCATAGCAAATTTGATTCACACTGATAATCCGATCCTAGGTCGCAGCGGTCGCAGGGCTTCTGAGATAGGCTGAAACCAGCCAGTCACAGCAAGTCGCAAGTTTCAATGAATGGCTTTTGGTCTTTAGATCTGGAAATAGCTGGCAGTCGACACCCATAGCACATGGTCTGTCCCTGCCATTTGTCCCAAAATGAACGCAGACTTTCCACAGGTTCTTACATGGCAAAAAGGGATCCATCAAAGCAAGTCCACAATTCACACTCCTTGTTTTCCTTGGATTTTGACTCAGAGGTACTACCAGTACTACCAGTACTACCACTCTCTGCACGCGTTCCCCATGGAGCCGAGATGCTCCCGGAAAGACAGCCTTTTCCGCAAAGGATGTGCCTGGTTCGCTGCCAGAAAAACTGCAGGAGTCGATTGGGGAAATCCTGACCCTCCAGGAAAAGTCGTAGAGAATCCACGGGCCAGGGTAGTGCAGAAATGTGCAGAAGATACAAAAGAATCTTCTTTCATTCTTACATAATCTCACATATAGAATATCATAAAATGAACAAATTGAAACCGAAAAAAGATCTGCCATACGTATCCATGTGTCGAGATTTCAGGGTTTCCTCTGAAAACCCAAGGCATTGGACCCATTTGGACCCCTCGGCCTACACCACACTGGCGATTCCAGGCTTCCACAGCGCCACCCTCACGGATTCCTTCCACGCAAAGACATCGATCCTCGGCGCGACTTTCGAGGAGAATAAAACTGGGATTCAATAGGGACTGGGGATTCAGATGGATTCAGGGATTGAGAACGATTGAGACAAGGTGTCTCTGAATTGAAACTGTTCCTTTGTTGTTTTACCGGATCTGCACAACCCAAAACTTCTGAATCTTCTAGAGATTTCTAGAGACATTCGGGTGCGACATGTCCCAGGCCCAGCGAAAACACGCCACCAAGTCGCATCCGAGGTATGCGACACATTGAGTCCCAGTTCAGCACCATCAGCCTGGCAACATCACGCCGATACCCATTTTCCCTGGTGACTACAGTCTTGCCTTGCGCAAGGTAAAGCTGAAGATGCCGCATCCACCCACCAGACCTGTAATGGCGGGACTGGAAGCCACACCAAGGGTGTCCCAAGGGGATCCCCAAGTGGTTCCGCTTGTGTTCGGGACATGGTATCTATATCGTCTATATCACAAGATCCCAAGTGGCTATAAAGCTTCTAACGGTGATACTCTCTGGTGATCAACGCCGGCAATAGGAAAAAAAGCAATGGCTACATCTTCTGAGGTAGAATTTTTCAGCCATGTTAGATTCCCAGCGGCTTCCCATCCCCATGTTAGAAATCCCCACATTTTGGTCGTTCAACCCGAATCTTTCTTGATCAAACCCTTATTTTGAAATAGTTAAACCCACTCTACTCCTTAAAGTCCTGAAAAAAACCTCTATTCCGGATGCAGTCAAACATAGTCAAACCTAGAGAAAAACCTATAGTTAAAAAACCAGGCTGCAACCCAGTTACACCCAGTTAACTCCCCACTTTTTTGATGTCTAAACCGTCCCACCCCGCACCTGCCCCAGCCCGACCATTCACCGTGAAGGGCGACGGCATGGGCGTGAGCGACTGGAGCAGCGACACCGGGGTGCGCTGCGGGGTAGACGGACCTGGCGGATGGGTCTAAAAAGTGGAGATGTTGTGTTGTGTTTGCAACAAAGCATCCCTTAAATCATTTAAAGAACCTAGAAATACCTAGAACCTTTATTTGTAGCAACAAATTATGACCACTTAGGACCATTCTCAGGTGAAAAGTGATGAACATGTATCAAATTTATGGGTAACTGCTTTATTTCAAGACAAAGCCAAATAGATGTAAAAGTTGGAAACCTGGAGATGCTCTGGAAACGCGATCTATAACAACCTGGAATTTGCTTTCTATCGTTTTCGGGGGGCTTCCATAATCCTGCTCAAGACTAGGAATCAACATGGGAGTGAAGCAATACAATTTGGCATGTATCAAGTTCCAGATTGATTTCAAGCCTTTCTCTCAATTGAAAGCACCTCCGAGAAACCCTTGTGGAATGTATTGTATCCCAATATAGGTTTTTTTGTTGAATGGGATCAATGACCTTTTCAATAGGTGCCTTTAGAACAACCTGTTTCATGTCGACATCTGAGCTTCCCAGACCCAGCGACTCCGCAATGGAAATCGCCGGGGGCGAGCCCATGGGAACGGGCGAAAACGGAAAGGTCGGCACCTGGCGTCCGGCCGCGCCAACAAACCCATGGTGCTACTATAGCCTCATCTTGCGAGTAAACATCAATCAAATTGCGGTTGGGATCAAGCAACCATGATCACAAGACATGTTTTCCACGTGGAAAATGCCAAGCTTCTTGGGTGTGTTCAGCCCCCAAACATCATCCCAGCCTCCGGCAGATCGTCACTTCCATAGTTCGCACGCGGTTGAGGCGTGGATGGTGGCACCTCCCAGGAGTTGGTGGAGTGACAAGTTGGGGCGTGGCCCCCTGCAGCGCACCTGACTTGAAGGGGGCTCCACCGTGTCCGCTTCCGTAGTGCCTGGGAAAGTCCCAAATGTGCTAGTGATATCTAGTGATGCTAATGCGAGTACTGACCGGTTTATCTTTACTCAGGCTGGAGCTCACAGACTCCGGAGAAGCAAAGTCCTGTCAGGTCGAAAGCTGCTCTCAAGTTGGACTCTCAACACAAAACCAGTGGTTGATGCGGTCATGTTGAGACCCCCAGAAATCAGGACAGCATCAGCATGCCACATGCTCCCAAGGCTTCCGTCCTTGCCATTCAAGTAGGTGTTTCCAATCATTGTGAACTGAGACTCGAGGTTGTGCAGAGTCTGCAAAGCTGGTTCCAGCACCCAGCAGATAAGTTTTGGAAAAACAGGTGTGAAATCTGGAGTTGGTCTCAAGTATGTCACAACCAAGAATGTCCAAAGACTTGTACCAACAAGAAAACGATCTCCCAGTCGATTGCTGAAGAGACAAAGTGTTTGTCCAGGAGAGACCCATTTGGATCTTCCCCGCCATCCAAACCTGTGGTTTGGGGCAGCAGTTTGATAGGAAAACCTCCAGTGCTTTGTATGCAAATATTGGTGATGTTTCTTTCCCACGACTGTAAGGTTCTACACCAGTGACATAGTCTATTGATTCGTGGCAGCATTCCAAGTTATATAAATTGGTTGCACTGTGTGGCTGCTAGAGTGGACCAAAACGAGTCACATGCATTCTAGAAAAAACGGTCACAGGTTTTGCTACTTAAGAAAATCGATGCTGTTGATCATTCAAGGTTTTTTTGTGCGATGTGGTGCTCCCCAGTTGCAAACATAAACTAGTGCGACATATCTACCATAGGACCATAAGTCCTAAAGTACTGGTTATTGGAGTTTTTAACTAACTTAGCTAAGTGTTTGTGGCACCCCGCTAGCAATGCGAAGATGTGCACGGCTCCTCGCAAGCTCCCCAGCCACTAACAGTGCAGCAATGACCTAATCTTGCCACAACCATCTACCCGTTTCCGAGGGATCTGAGCTCAGTTTCAAGCCTGCTTCAAGCGTCCATTCTCCCTTTCGAGTTCATGCTGCTTTAGCTGGCATTGGCCCTCAGGCGACAGGCCCAAAAATCAAAAAAACAAAACAACCTGTAGATATGAGGTAGATATGTCTGTGTGTATATAATATAAATATATATCCCATAGTAGTTACATATATACATGTATACATATATACATATATACATATATACATATATACATATATACATATATACATATATACATATATACATATATACATTCACGCAGCTCCTTCAAGCCCGCAATAGACCCTGCCCAAACTCCCCTTCAAGCAGGCCAAGCGGATAGCCGGATGGCCTGATAGCCTTTGCATAGGCAGAATCCATCAGGGATATATAGATTATTATTGTTGTTGTTATCATTGTTTTTTATCATTATGATTATCATTATTATCATTAGCATTATTATTATCACTATTATTATCACTATTATTATCATTATTATTGTTCAGTATAATTATCATTATTATCATTATCATTGTTATCATCATTATCATTACTATTATTATCATTATCGTTATTATCATCATTATCATTATTATTAATACTAGTGTCATTATGATTATTATTATCATTATCATTACTATTATTGTCATTATTATCATTATCATTATTATTAGTATCATTATCGTTACTATGTTTATTGTTATCATTATCATTATTATCATCATTATTATCATTATCATTATTATTATCATTAGCATTATTATTATCATTATCACTATTATTATTATCAGTATCACTATTATTATCACTATTATCATTATTATCATTATTATCATTTTTATGTTTGTTTCATTATCATTATCATGATGATCATGAATATCATTATTATTTTATAGTCTGTATATTATATATATACACGTATATATATATATACATATATATGTATGTGTATATATATATGTATATATGTATGTATATATGTGTATATATATGTGTATATATATATGTATGTGTGTATGTATGGATGGATGGAGTGATGGATGGATGGATGGATGGATGGGTGGATGGATGGATGGATGCATGGATGTATGTACGTACGTACGTACGTACGTATGTAATATCATGATGTTGTTAATGGATGTCATCAATTTTGGTATCTCCTCCAGCGGATGACACTCCCTGAGAAGTGCACAATCTCCTCCACCAGCTGCTGCATTTTCTCGCGATGGCGTTGCCTCAGCTATGGTGCCGAAAATGGAACTGCCTTCCCCCAAAGAGTGACTGAGAGTGTGGCAAACACTGAAATGGTGCTAGAATTCTGCAATCTATGTTTGCAAAAGTGTTGTGAGATACGGAACGCAGATGCAGTTGACTGCCCTAGGCTCCTCGCTGCATTTGTGCAACCACCTGGGACCCAAAGCCAGGCCAGCAACTTCGCAACGATCAAAGGCCACCCTGAAATATCAATGACTTTCACATTGATACACATGGTCACATGGATGCATAGAGAAAGATATATAGTAGGAGGTAGTCTTACATTATATACAGATGCTTCAGACTCAAAATGTTGCAGCCGGAGTCATATCCACCACATATCCACCACATACGGCCGTCCCAGTCGTGCACCTCCTTGCCCTTCATAAGCATCTCTTCAGACTTCTCTTGCACCTTGGTGGATCCAAGCCTGAAAAATACAGCGAATCACCAATGACGGTGGGGCTCAACCTCTAAATTGGCTGGAACATACCCCATTGATAGATGAGGTCAGACATCGAAAACTCTGGTCTTTCCAGGCTTTCCCACCTTGAACTCCACCTCGGAGAGCACCAATTCACGGATGGCCTCGTGGAATTGAATGAACAACAAGGATAGATATGACTCCAGTAAGATACAATATGTATCAGATGTGTATACTGTGTTTATACATAAATATATATATATACACTATATTTGCATGCGTGTGTGTAAGTATAATGTAATATGATATATCTGGTCACACCGGGCCCATGCTTGGAGCTTTCTGGGAGCAGCCCCGCTCTGTGCAGCCCTTTTCGAGCGCATCTTCGCTAGTGGCAGGCTGTATACTGTATATGTGAGGCCGCAAAGCTATGCAATGCTCTGCCGAATGCACCACATTTGATACGTTGAAATCTACAGCGCATATAACTACAGTAAGTGATACTAGGTGTTGAAATCCTAGTGATGTTCGCATTCGGACATTCCTGGTATAGTGAGCTTGTTCCAACCTTTGGACAAACGGTGAGTGGAGCTGGCTAGTGACTACAAATGACAGGAGCTGTGAGTTGTGTATGCGGCAGATTGTAGCGGGTCTGTCCAGGAGAATTCAGAGGAATTGTATAATGGTCTGTGACGCCTGACACACCCACCTTTCACAACATCGTTGGTAGCTTCAATCATAATTACATACGATATATGCACGTACACATACACAGAGACATGAAAATGCATAATAATTACATATGTACGATGTATGTGTGGAATGTATATATCAAGTTATGAAAGTAACGGTGATTGTTTGAAACATGGAAAACCACCAAGAGTAACTCAATTAGAAAATCAGTGTGCCGGACAACAATTTCTCCGTTTATGGTGATCACCAGTGTTTGTCTGTGCGTGTGTGTGTCAGATCCAGTGCCAACCTGAAACTGTCTCTGAAATGAGCAGTTCGCTTGAGGGGAAAATTGTGTGTGTGTGTGTTGCAATGGGTTATGTACGATACCGGCCAACCCTAGATGACACAGAGCCACCGACTCTGCTGCCACCATAAGGTTAGCTAGAATGCTGTACCACGTTTCGGATGTCCTGAAACAATCACGTTCCGAATAGAATTTGCGCATCAAATAATGCATATACATAATGTTGTATATAATGATATATAATGTGTGTAGTATTTGCTGATTCATTTTCAAGTGCCTCCGATGTTTCAGTTGTGGCACTGATCACATGAAGCCAGCTCCCTTTGGAGCTCTTTACAAAAGGCTTTTCTCGAAGCAGAAGTGGTTTACTGTCTCTTAAGGAGAATGAATTAGGCAAGTAGAACTCTTGCACCATTTTTTTGGATGGATTTAAAAAATGTGGTGAAATCGATCACAAGATATCACAACTCTACGTAGTTTCTACATCAATGGGAAACAACAGCCCTGAAATCTGTCGAATAGCCAAGAGCTCTTCAAACGTTATGCCGCTCGAGCGGCAAAGCGCCACCGCTAAATCTGTGCAAGCCATCATGATATCTGTCCAATTCGGCAGAAACTATCACGAAAGCATACGAAAGCAAAACAATGCTAGGTCCTGTCTCAAAATCATGAATTTGTCAATTTCGCCTTTGAAAAGCTTCAGTTAGCAGCCTCCAAGTGGCCAATGGCCTCACCGCCGTCGGGCAGCAACACCCAGCGCCGCGCCCAGGGCCAGCAGGCACAGAGGCTTCACCCAGGGCGTGACGTAACTGGACCATGATGGAGGTGCCCTGACGCACCGGAACAAGGGAGGGTCAGATTTAAAGGTGCTTTCACCAAGAAAATATCCGGAAAAGAAACAAACACGAACACTAAAAACTACCAATCCTGATCGGAGATCATCAAAACATCTAGAAAACAAATATGGGCGTTTGATGATGGTTGGAGTCCGAGAATGACAAGACTCTTGGTGGATTTAGGGTCCTATTGAGACAAAGAAAGTGTTGCAGTGTGTTGAGGGACAAGATATCCAGCTGCTATAACTCCTCAAAAACATTCTCACAAAGATTGGCCCTCCGGCTGTTTGAATGAAGTTCGTAGCATGTGAAACCACCAGCTTGAGGTGTCAGGATTGGTACAACAAGCATGCAGAAAGGCATCGCCAACTCTTGCAGAAGAGCTTGTGTAAACAAGTTGGGATGAGGATAATCTCCATGATCTGAATGAAGGCCTCAAAAACATTCCAATGGATGCCACTGTTCCAATGGCCAGGTAAGGCCAGACACTTTGCAGCCCTTGAGCTATACCCATCCAGACAAGCTATCTTTCAGGAAACAAGAGTGGTCATTCACCCAGCCCAAGTGCCTGAGAAAGAGTTCATCGCATCCGTCGTTCTCCACGAAACGTTCGATGGCCTCCACACACGCCTGCAGCCACAAGGGCATCAACCCCAGCTTCACGATCCATCCACAGCCAGTGTCAAATCATCGGGCAGATGGAGGGGACCCCTAGTTATCATCCACTTTGTCGGCCCCTTTTTAAATGTCGGGGAAACCAATACTGAGTTGAACTCCTCCACTTTAGGAACCATAGAACCAGCCTAGCAATGCCGCGCAAGGTGCCTCAGCCCCCTTGGTCTTCAGCATCATTCCTTGTAGCTCTCTTGCCCGCTGGGCATAACTTGGATCTCCAAGAACCTGGCAAATCGGCGATCGGCTATGGCAGCTACGGGTCTATCCAATGATTGATATCGTGATATCGCAACCATGGTATCTTTTCCAATGAACATGAGGGTGTCATATTGGAACACCATCCCTTATCACTGCTTTCTGGCATATGAACACGTCCGCTTGGCCTGCCAATCTGACATCAATCTTAAACAAGATGGAAGCCACGAACCCGAATGTATTCACGTTCTTGGACTACGAGTGCAAACCTCTGCAATAGGAAAACGAACCTTTGTTTGCATGCATCGTGCGGTTCACAAAGAGACAACTAACCAGCACAACAACATCACCACCAGCACAACGAAATCACAACCAGCACAACAATATCACCAGCGCAATGAAATCGCAACAAAATCACCAGCACAACGAAATCACCAGCGCAACAACAACACCAGCACAACGAAATCACCAACACAACAGCATCACCAGCACAGCAACATCACCAGCACAACGAGATCACCACCACCTGCCACACTCCACACTTTACCCACTGCACACTTCACACTTTACACTCCACACTCTACACTTTGCACTCTACACTTTACACTCTACACTCCACACTCGACACTTTCCACTCCACACTCCGCACACTACACTTTACACTCCACACTCCACACTCTACACTTTACACTCTACACTTTACACTCTACACTTGACACTCTACACTTCACACTCGACACTTTCCGCTCCGCACTCCGCACTCTACACTTTACACTCCAGGCTCCACACTTTACATTTTACACTCCTCACTCCTCACTCCACGCTCTACACTCGACACTCCACACTCCACCACACTCAACACTCTACACCCACCACGCTCATCACTCCACACTCCACACTTTACATTCCACACGCCACACTTTACACTCCACACTCCACACTTTACACTTTACACTCCTCACTCCACACTCGACACTCCACATTTTACATTCCACACTCTACACTTTACACTTTACACTCTACACTTTGCACTTTACACTCCACACTTTACACTTTACACTCCTCACTCCACACTCCTCAATCCTCACTCCACACACTACACTCTACTCTCCACACTCTACACTGCACACTCCACACTCTACACTTTACACTCCACGCTCTCCACTCCTCACTCCACACACTACACTCCACACTCCACACTTCACACGCCACACTTTACACTCCACAATCCTTACTTTACGCTCCGCACTCCACACTCCACACTCTACACTTTACACTCCACACTCCACACTCTACACTCTACACTTTACACTTTACACTCTACACTCCACAATCCACGCTTTACACACTCTACACTCCCCTCTCCACACTTTACACTGTGCACTCCTTACTTTACACAAAAAGTTTGCACAAAACTACTTCCCAGTACTACTGTGTACTACAAAGCTTGCACAAAGTCAGTTCCCAGTACTACGTTGTAAGGCAAAGCTTGCACAAAGTTTTTCGCAGTTCTACTTTTGTACTATTACTACAAAGCTTACACAAAGCACTTCCCAGTACTACACAGCACTACAAAGCTTGCACAAAGCACTTCCCAATACTACTGTGTACAACAAAGCTTGCAGAATCTACTTCCCAGTTAATCTTAAAAAAACAAACGTTACAAGAAGACCCATGCGAAACCTCTTGCAGCAAATCCTGCCTTCTGAAGGGCCGATTTCACCGATGCAGGAGTCAACTTCCTAAGGTTGCGACATGTTGCGACCAGCTGCTGTTTGTGGTTCACATGTGTTGGGCTGGAACCTTCCACTGAATGGGGGTCTTTGCTATGCATGGATCTCCTTCCGTCGAATATGCCTGTTCATGTTGCTGCCAAAATGCACAAAGCAGCGATCTCCCAGATGTATGAAGCATGTCACCACAATACCGCAGATTTTTGCTGCTGATTATATAACCAAATCATAGTGACTTGTCGCTCAATGTATACCCATTTAAGGTTGATAAACTTCTGGATCTCTAAAAGCTGCTTTTCACGTGCCTTTTCCTCTGAACCAATCTGTTTCGTTCCATTTTGGACCTCTTTGATCATGTCTCCCTTTTGGGCTTCGTGAAATCAATCCTAACCAACAGGCCGATCGTGCATCCCGGATGCATGTCCCTATGTTCGGTCCTTTGGTGAGTCCAACCCTGCTTTTTTGGTGGGTTTGCCCCTCCATTGTTCGGTGGATTAGCTCAATCTTGTTTGGGGAAAATATTGGAAAGCATGGGTTTTCAGAGAGCGTGCAGAAGGGCACGAATTTGATTTTGGCAAAGGCGGCCACTTGCGGCCACTTGCTCTGGCGGCCACTTGCGGCCACTTGCGGCCACTTGCTCTGGCGGCCACTTGCGGCCACTTGCGGCCACTCGCTCTGGCGGCCACTTGCGGCCACTTGCGGCCACTTGCTCTGGCGGCCACTTGCGGCCACTCGATTGGCTGCGGTTGGCTTGCGGCTCAACTGAAGTGGCTGCAAGTGGCTGCAAGTGGCTGCAAGCGGCTGCCAGGCGTGGGTGAATTATATTTTTCACCATTCATCCTCTCTTGGGCGGAGAATATTGGGAATTTTCCGTTGCCTGCGCACGGAAAATTTATAACATTCTCCGTGGGCGGAGTCTTGGCAATGTGAAGTACTGTACTGTCATCATTTCTATGTTGAGGGAGTTTCTTTTGAGTGAGGCACGGACAAAATGAAACGTTCTAGGTGTGGCTTCTCGAAGCTCTCTTTTTTTTGTTGCAGCGTTGTCCTCCTCTTTTAATAAGTCTTTCCTCTTAATTGCTTCTCCTTCCTTTTCGTTTAAACTCGTGCGTTTTCGTTGTGGGTCTTTCCCTGTCGTTCCAAGTCTCTTTTTTTTCGTTGCAGCGTTGTCCTCCTCTTTTAATCAGTCTTTCCTCTTAATTGCTTCTCCTTCCTTTTCGTTTAAACTCGTGCGTTTTCGTTGTGGGTCTTTCCCTGCCGTTCCAAGTCTCTTTTTTTTTCGTTGCAGCGTTGTCCGCTTCTTTCGATAAGTCCTTCCTCTTAATATTACTTCTTCTTCCTTTTCGTTTAAACTCGTGCGTTTTCGTTGTGGGTCTTTCCCTGTCGTTCCAAGACTCTTTTTTGTTGCAGCGTTGTCCTCCTCTTTCAAGAAGTCCTTCCTCCTAATTGCTTCTCCTTCCTCTTCGTTTGAATTCGTGCGTTTTCGTTGCGGGTCTTTCCCTTTCGTTCCAAGTCTCTTTTTTTTCGTTGCAGCGTTGTCCTCCTCTTTTAATAAGTCTTTCCGCTTAATTGCCTCTCCTTCATTTTTGTTTGAATTTGTGTGTCTCCGTTGTGGGTCTTTCCCTGTCGTTCCAAGTGTCTTTTTTTTCGTTGCAGCGTTGTCCTCTTCTTTTAATAAGTCTTTCCTCTTAATTGCTTCTCGTTCCTTTTCGTTTAAACTCGTGCGTTTTCGTTGTGGGTCTTTCCCTGTCGTTCCAAGTCTCTTTTTTTCGTTGCAGCGTTGTCCTCCTCTTTTAATAAGTCTTTCCTCTTAATTGCTTCTCCTTCCTCTTCGTTTAAACTCGTGCGTTTTCGTTGTGGGTCTTTCCCTGTCGTTCCAAGTCTCTTTTTTTCGTTGCAGCGTTGTCCGCTTCTTTTAAGAAGTCTTTCCTCTTAATTGCTTCTCCTTCCTTTTCGTTTAAACTCGTGCGTTTTCGTTGTGGGTCTTTCCCTGTCGTTCCAAGTCTCTTTTTTTTCGTTGCAGCGTTGTCCTCCTCTTTTAATCAGTCTTTCCTCTTAATTGCTTATCCTTCCTCTTCGTTTAAACTCGGGCGTTTTCGTTGTGGGTCTTTCCCTGTCGTTCCAAGTCTCCTTTTTTTTCGTTGCAGCGTTGTCCGCTTCTTTCGATAAGTCCTTCCTCTTAATATTACTTCTTCTTCCTTTTCGTTTAAACTCGTGCGTTTTCGTTGTGGGTCTTTCCCTGTCGTTCCAAAACTCTTTTTTGTTGCAGCGTTGTCCGCTTCTTTCAATAAGTCTTTCCCCTCAATTGCTTCTCCTTCCTCTTCCTTTAAACTCGGGCGTTTTCGTTGCGGGTCTTTCCCTGTCGTTCCAAGTCTCTTTTTTTTCGTTGCAGCGTTGTCCGCTTCTTTTAATAAGTCTTTCCTCTTAATTACTTCTCCTTCCTTATCGTTTAAACTCGTGCGTTTTCGTTGTGGGTCTTTCCCTGTCGCTCCAAGTCTCTTTTTTTTCGTTGCAGCGTTGTCCGCTTCTTTTAATAAGTCTTTCCTCTTAATTACTTCTCCTTCCTTTTCGTTTAAACTCGTGCGTTTTCGTTGTGGGTCTTTCCCTGTCGTTCCAAGTCTCTTTTTTTCGTTGAAGCGTTGTCCGCTTCTTTTAATAAGTCTCTCCTCTTAATTGCTTCTCCTTCCTCTTCGTTTGAGCTCGGGCGTTTTCGTTGTGGGTCTTTCCCTGTCGTTCCAAGTCTCTTTTTTTTCGTTGCAGCGTTGTCCGCGAATTTTAATAAGTCTTTCCTCTTAATTGCTTCTCCTTCCTTTTCGTTTAAACTCGTGCGTTTTCGTTGTGGGTCTTTCCCTGTCGTTCCAAGTCTCTTTTTTTTCGTTGCAGCGTTGTCCGCTTCTTTCAATAAGTCCTTCCTCTTAATTGCTTTTCCTTCCTCTTCGTTAAAACTCGTGCTTTTTCGTTGTGGGTCTTTTCCTTTCGTTCCAAGTCTCCTATTTTTTTCGTTGCAGCGTTGTCCTCCTCTTTCAATAAGTCCTTCCTCTTAATTGCTTCTCCTTCCTCTTCGTTTGAATTTGTGTGTTTCCGTTGTGGGTCTTTCCCTTTCGTTCCAAGTCTCCTATTTTTTTTCGTTGCAGCATTGTCCTCCTCTTTTAATAAAAGTCCTTCCTCTTAATTGCTTCTCCATCCTTTTTGTTTGAACTCGTGCGTTTTCGTTGTGGGTCTTTCCCTGTCGTTCCAAGACTCTTTTTTTTTCGTTGCAGCGTTGCCCTCCTCTTTTAATAAGTCCTTCCTCTTAATTGCTTCTCGTTCCTTTTCGTTTAAACTCGTGCGTTTTCGTTGTGGGTCTTTCCCTGTCGTTCCAAGTGTCTTTTTTTCCGTTGCAGCGTTGCCCTCCTCTTTCAATAAGTCCTTCCTCCTAATTGCTTCTCCTTCCTCTTCGTTTGAATTCGTGCGTTTTCGTTGCGGGTCTTTCCCTTTCGTTCCAAGTCTCTTTTTTTGTTTTAGCGTTGTCCGCTTCTTCTAATAAGTCTTTCCGCTTAATTGCCTCTCCTTCATTTTTGTTTGAATTTGTGTGTCTCCGTTGTGGGTCTTTCCCTGTCGTTCCAAGTGTCTTTTTTTTCGTTCCAGCGTTGTCCTCTTCTTTTAATAAGTCCTTCCTCTTAATTGCTTCTCGTTCCTTTTCGTTGGAACTCGTGCGTTTTCGTTGTGGGTCTTTCCCTGTCGTTCCAAGTCTCTTTTTTTCGTTGCAGCGTTGTCCTCCTCTTTTAATAAGTCTTTCCTCTTAATTGCTTCTCCTTCCTCTTCGTTTAAACTCGTGCGTTTTCGTTGTGGGTCTTTCCCTGTCGTTCCAAGTCTCTTTTTTTTCGTTGCAGCGTTGTCCGCTTCTTTTAAGAAGTCTTTCCTCTTAATTGCTTCTCCTTCCTTTTCGTTTAAACTCGTGCGTTTTCGTTGTGGGTCTTTCCCTGTCGTTCCAAGTCTCTTTTTTTTCGTTGCAGCGTTGTCCGCTTCTTTTAATAAGTCTTTCCGCTTAATTGCTTCTCCTTCCTTTTCGTTTAAACTCGTGCGTTTTCGTTGTGGGTCTTTCCCTGTCGTTCCGAGTGTGGGTTACCCGCGGAAAATGCGGAAAAGTTTCCGTGGGTTAGCCGCGGAAAATGTGGAAAAGTTTCCGTGGGTTAGCCGCGGAAAATGTGGAAAAGTTTCCGTGGGAGGATGTCAGGCGGCCACTTGCGGCCTTTTGCGGCCACTCGAGTGGCTGCAAGAGGCTGCAAGTGGCTGCCGGTGACAAAAGAGACTGCTGGCGGCCACTTGCGGCCACTTGCGGCCACTCGAGTGGCTGCAAGTGGCTGCAAGTGGCTGCAAGTGGCTGCAAGTGGCTGCAAGTGGCTGCCGGTGACAAGAGAATGCTGGCGGCCACTTGCGGCCACTTGCGGCCACTCGAGTGGCTGCAAGTGGCTGCCATTTCCAAAATCAAATTACGCGCCTCCTGCGTGCTCAATGTGGGTTTTTGAGGGCCCTATTTCCCTTATTTTTGCTAATTGAATCCACATTTCTTGATGCGTTTCCCCCGTTGGATCTCTTTGCTCGTGTTCACCACCATGTGGGTTTGTCTGAAATAAGGTCCCAATTTCATCCGGTGCTTAATCAAACTGGCGATAAATCCCCTATTTATCAGACACAGCCGTACGTCATGTTGTTGGCTGAATACATCCCATTCTATCCTATTATATACACCCGGTTACATCCCCAAATCTATCCAAATTATATCACCATGAAATCTATCCCACATCTTGGTTATCACAAGCTTATCCCATATATCTATCGCGCATCCCATTCTATTCCATTCTATCCCGTATATCCTACTGATCACATGTGAAAACCCAGGGTATCCGCGCCTGGGTTTCAGGACCTCCGCCAGGCCCCGCTCCTTCGCCAGCTTGGCGTTGGCCGGTTGGTCGGCGCGGAAGGGCAGAGCCACCAAGGGCTTCCCCGCGGCGATGGTCTCGTTGAGGCCACCGAAGCCGCAGTGGGTCCTTGGGAAAAATAGGATGGTCAGATGTACATCATGTATTCATAATGTATCATATATATGTGTGTGTGTAATTATGTGCATGTGTATTCATTAGTATGTATACATACTTTGTATCATAATATCATGAATAGTATTCATCAATGTATAATGTATGACATGGGAATAGTATGTGTGTATAATTATGTGTATACACCACAATAATTCAATATAGTATGGTACCCAAGAATGCGGAGACGAGATCTGAGATGACATAAACCACACATGGTGGAGACTTGGAGAATCCAACGAAACACAGGTGAGCAGACGAAGGACGAGCAGCACTCGTGGAGGCAAAACATGTTAGCTTGGGGGTTGTCAGACCTTGAACCATAGTGCTCTTGAAAGCACCCGGCAGCCCAAGGTTGTGGATTTTTTTGATGTTGTCATCCCAGCATATCCCAAGGGATCTCAACAGCTAAGCCAAATAATTTCAAATTGGCAGGCGGCACAACCACTGCCACTTCCCCCAGCTGGAGGGCTTCACCTGCGTGATGCAGCGAAGCCTTGAAGTGTAGTTTCATTCGTTTTTTCTGACATCTGCTTGGATTGTAGTGAGTTGTTGTGTGATAGTTGGTGATAGTTCATGATAGTTCATGATAGTTCGTTGTTTTTGAGTGATGGTCCTGGAGTCAGTTCCATATGGTCACAAAGATCCAGCGTTCAAGACCTGGAATACACTAACCATCAGTCAATAATGCAACACCCATTGCAAGATGTGGCACACTGCAATTAGGTAAAACCTGTATGTAAGTTGTTGTTCCATTCCTCGGTTAGAGGCGATAGGTTCAACCTATCACTCAATCCAAGCTGGAGCTGATGAAATGCTGCCTGGAGCCCGTCCCTTCCCAGCTTTGCCTTGCGGCAGCCATTTCTGCACAAAAAAATGCGATGGCAACGCTTCAATGCCTCAGTACGCTTAGTACGCGTTGACAATACGTGTCTCTTCGATTCTGGAGTGGGAATCACATGCGTCATCGCTTCCAATCTCTGCCGTACAAGGTAGCGATGGAAAGGCGACAGGACCAATGCGAAGCGAGATGCAGAGGGTGAAGCAACTGAAGTGAGTTGGGTGGAGTGGGTGGAGTGGGTGGGGTGGGTGGGGTGGGTGGATGCAGAAAATGGATGGAGTGTGACCTCAGGTGCTCTTTTCCTAAGAAATTCCACGCTGCAACGTTACACTTCCTTGTAGACATGGCTACATCGGCAAAAAAGACACGTGTCATATGCTGCCCTGGAGGCAATCGAAACCAGGCCACTGTGACGTGAAAAAACATGTGTTTGGTCTGCTTGGTCTACTAATACTAGCTACGCTGACTGTATCGCATCCGATGCCATACGAAAAATCACATCACATCATCTAGTCTTTTGTTCCTTTTCAGATGCACATGCATGTGAGTAGACATACAAGAAAACGTACAAGAACATACATGAACTACTATAAGACTATATGTATACAATGTTGCGCCATTCGATGACATGAGCGCGACGTGTCAGCATGTACATGAAAATTCCATGGCCAATTGCAAAGTGTTCCCGGATTTCCCTTGCACCGTCTGATACCACATCTACTTCCCGTATTCTCAAAGCTACTGACTGCAGAATTATAGGCTTCTGGTGATTGGGAAGGTTGGCGCACAAGGCGGTGGCAGAAGCTTCAACAATAGGAAACCTATAG